TTTCCGTAAAGCTCAATTTGCTTCCAAGTTAGACTAGAGGCTAAAGAAGTGGAGGAAACTCTAAAACAAGCCAGAAAACTAGGGCTGGGGGAGCCCCGAGGCTCTAGAGACAAACTTGATGGCTGAGTCCTGCTCCAATCCAGAGACACCCAAGGCCTCCCAGGGCGGGGCTACTGCTGGGAGTCAGGGCTGGGCAGGAAATGGGAGACTGGGGGGTGTGTAGGGGGCAGGGGCGTGGTGGGCAGCTGGGGTGGGATGTGGCTTGGAGCCACTCTTGCACCCTCCTGTCCACACCAGGGACAGGGCTGGGCCCAACACATGGGAAAAGGCTCTGGATCCAGGGAGGTGTCTGGGTCCGATGACTGTGTCTTCTGAGGTAGACAGGCCACCAGGCCTGCAGCCTCACCTCCACCCCTGGGGACACCTGCCTATGGGACCTTCCTGGGGTCCCAGAGACGAGGTGGAGTTCAGGCCACCCAGGAGAGAAAGGGGACAGCTTTCTCCTGGCAGGCACAGATGCCCCAGGGCCTGGCCCTCCTCCCAGGGTTCCCAGCCTCGGCTGAGTGGATCGATCCAGAGGTGAAGCAGGAGGGCCCGCCTTTGGGCCTCCACTGCCTCTGTCCTCGCCTCCCTCAGGGACCAGAAACCCCTCGGTTGTCAGGCTCTTCAGACTGGGAGGGGCCGCTCCTCCTGCTCTGCTTGTGCCCATGCTCTCTCCTCTGGGGCCCTTGGCCTCCAGCCTGACCATTAACCCACCCTGGAGAGCCTGGAGGAAAATCCGGGAAAGACAGCTGCTTCCTTGCGCACAAGCAGGGCCTGGCCCCCAGCTCCCACCCAGCAGCCAACCCCTGCCCTCCAGGCCCTGCCAGAAAGCTTCATGTTCACTGCCTCAGAAGGCGACCTCTCCCCAGCCAGCGGCAGGGGTCGGGAGATCAGATGGGGGACCAGAGCGTCCAGGAGGTTGGAGTGTGGGGCAGGGCAGGACGGGAGGAAAGAGGTGAGGAGTCCTCATTCCC